TGAGTAGATCCTTTTATTTTTTATACAAATTACAATAAAGATTACAAGTATCTAAAATATTCATCGAGGATATAAGGTACCACCATGCAAAATTTTATTTAAATCGCTCCTACAATTTCGTAGATTAGCCCGCACAAACAGACGAACAGACAGAGAAACAAAAAAATTGAAAAAAAAACTGGATGTATTCTATTTCTCTTGTAGTGTGTATGTGTGTAAGCCTCCCCGATACCTATATATTGTACGACATGTTATTATTTAAAAAGTAATAAACGAACCTTGGAGCCAAACAGTTGTCTCATTGAGTTCACACATTACACACTTCTTACATCCCCCTGACTCGGTTTTTAGCATTTTTTCAGTGTACAGATATTCGACCTTTACAGTTTAATTATATGTATAGATTTCAATAAGATTTTTCAAAAAATATTTAATGTACAGGTTCGGCTCAGCTACAATTTTATTATATGTATAGATATAAAATATTTATTCGGCGCAAGCATATTTAGATCAAATGCTATACATATTTAGATAAGTTTTTGTTTTTTAGGTATATCTATATAGGTGCCCTTTCTGCAAAAAACGCAACTTTATTCGCTTCGGTACGACTTCGCTCACATTAGATACTATATCTTTTTCAATATCGATTAATCTACGTATAATTTAGTACAATTTTCTCGTCAATGACTTCAAAACTTGCCAGTTGAGCACAGATTACTTTGCCAGTGTCACGTAGAATGGAGAAGATAAGAGGGAGATTGATCAGTAAAATAAGATAATTAAACTAAATTAATTTATAATATGTAAAAAAGCAGTTAATTTATTTGTATGGTACGTAATAATCACTTAAATCGTATTTTTTAACAGTTAGCATTAAAATTCACTAACATTCTAGTCACCAACGCACTGATCGCTATATTAGCTCATTTCTTATTTGTAGTTCCTGAGATAAGCACATTCAAACAAACAAACAAACAAACAAACAAACAAACAAACAAACAAACTCTGCCTCTTTATATATATTAGTATAGGTAGATTGCCCAATTCTGTACAAGGGTTAGGTCATTGTTGCGTCTTAAAACTAGTCTCTTCCGTGACCATGATTGCTGTAAAGCATTCGAAACGTCGGGAACCAAAAATAAAAATAAATCTGCGAAATAATTCGAAAAAATAGTTTTATTTTAAAATGTCAAATATTCGCGTTAATCTAGCAAAGTATTTTCGATATCAGTTAAAAATGCAAGACGTGTTCCAAAAACAAAATACGTCACAAAATACAAAATACATCAGTCACTATATGTACGTCCCTAGTTACGTTTTAATTTTTTTGAGCGGAATCCTAATTTTTTTTCTAAAATAAAGGTAGCCTATATTACTCCCTATAACATTAAAAATCATCCAGTGAAAGTCCCGTCAAAATCTGGCCAGCTGCTTCAGAGATTATCCGGAACAAACAGACAGACAGGCAAATAGACAGATAAAAATTAAAAAAATGTGTTTGTTTTGTAAGTACCGTAATATATAATTTCATATGCATTTAGTAAAAAGCTGTTACTTTGACATTAAAAACGGACTCTTCAATTTTATTTATCTGTATAGAGTATAGATATGTTGGAGCATTAACACACAGCACATTTAGTTCCATAGTAAACTAAGAGGGTTGTGTTATGGATACCAGATAGTTGATACTCTACATATATATATATTATAAATATAAATATCCATGATTGGAGTACAAACATTTGTGCTACCACCTTAAATGAATGCTCCCAGCGGGATTCGAACCTGCGACCGCTGGCACAGCAAGTAGGGTCACTATAAACTGAGCCAAACGTGTGATCTATCGTCATCATATCAGTGAAACAATTATTTTGTTAACACATGACAATTTTATGCGAAATTCCGGAGTGGCCATAAATTCTCGTACCGGCAACAAAATCTTTTACTCTCATGGCTAGAATGATAGCATGTACGTTTTGTAAATGGCCATTCGTCCGCATTCGCTTATTTTATAACGCAACTCTATTTTTCGACGGTACACTCATAAAATATGAAACACATCCATCCCGTTGAAATTCCAATACAAAATTGGTTATTATTTGGGCATGCGCGGCTTAAATGTGTTTTTCAGTAAAAATGTAGGTTTTCTTTATTTGTACATATGCTTAGATTTATATTTATGTATGTATATACTACAATGACGACTTTGAATTTGACGACGCATGTGGCTCAGTTTGTAGTGACCTTACTTGTTGTGCCAGCGGTTGCGGGTTCGAGTCCCGCTGGGGGCATTCATTTTTGTGATGAGCACGAATGTTTGTACTCCAGTCATGGGTGTTTATATTTATAATATGTATGTATTTAAAGTTTATATATGTGTAGTATATCAACTATTTGGTATCCATAACACAGGCCTCGTAGCTTACCATGGATCTAGATGGTGCTATGTGTTAATGTCCCAACATATTTATTTATTATTTATTTAATGAATATAATATTTATATGATATACATAAAATGCTTTGTCCTGACTGACTGATCATGGTCATGATCGTGATCAATGGTCGTAGAAATATGAAATTTGGAGAACATATTCCTTATACAATGTAAGCATCTGCTAAGAAAGGATTTTTCGAAGGTCATCCCTTAAGGGGGTAAAATAGGGGATAAAAGATTGTATAAAACTGTCATTCTTAACACGAAATGCACGGAAAGTGGTATTTATATGAGCAAACAATTATTTAAGATCAGAGCTACTTGAAACTTTGTATTCATGCTCTGCAATACAATTAAATAAAGATGTATTGTAGATTTTTTTTTAATTCAGGCCCTAAGTGGGTATAACTGAGCAGTGAAGTTTGAGTTGTTGAATATAGTTAAATAGAGTAACATGGCTCAAGTACTCTATAAGTGCACATTTACTATGTGGGATATAAAATATGTGGGAATCCAAAGGAAAATTATCTATAACTTTTCGGCTGGCCACAGCAGTGCAGACAACTATAACAGACTTAGAGCGCGAGAGAGAGAACCTAGCTAGAGAGTATCCTGCTATCTATATCCTCCTTCTGAAGGTTGGCACAACTGTAATTAAAAAATCGCCTAAGCTATGTAACGGGATTAGACTGTGACTAATTCATTAAACTTTATAGTGGCCACTATGATTGCTGGATGTGCTCGGAGAGAATCAGAATTCATGCCTCGAATATTACTGATAACTTCTGATTACGCCTTTGAATTTAATCTATTCCTTCTTAAGGTTTGCTTTGCAATGACCTTTTATGTATCTCAGGGCCAGTCCTTAAAAGTAGCAGGTGTAGACTTAAGAGATCTTCCTCTAATTTTGGAAAGATGGAGTAGAAAAATGCGCAATAAATAGTGGAGCTTGCTAAATACCTAAAGTGTAAATTTATTTACAAAATATACGCTTAACATCTTTTAAGCACTGGGTATATTGAGTTACGATAGCTAAAATTAAATTTGTTTTCCATATATCTTTAAGAAATAATAAAACTTACACGAACTTATTTTTGCAATTAATAAAGTATGTATGGCGAAAAAGTTTATTTTTTTCGTAGTTTGACCGCAATTTTATAGTAACTTTATGTCCTCTTTTGGTCAACCTATTTTCTTTTCTCTTAATTAGTAGCTTTTGGCGAGCTTTAGTGTTATCAATGAAATAAGTTTTGTTTTATATACATATGTTTTCCTCAGTCTATGTCTAGCAAATGAACAGTAAAGTCTTTCCACTTAGTATCCTTTTATTCTGGAAATATGTATAATGTGGGAGATAAAATATATTATGTTAAATTTTTAGCACTACCTTCGTATTTTTATAGAAATGTCATTTGACAGCTATGTTATCAGTGACGCCTACTACGACATTTCCTTATAAATTCTCTTATTGTACGTGAATGAATCAGAAAAAAGCTTTAGTTTAGTAAAGTTTAGCTCAGAAATGAGATATTTACCCGCATTAAAAAGTATCCTATATGTCGACCCGGATAACCAGCTATCTTCGTACCTTATCAAAATCTATCCATTTTTCGTGATGCGGATGACCGCATTGTCTATGAAGACAGATGACAGACAGGCAGACAAAATATCTTAAAACTATAGATTTGGCCTCTGTATATATAAGAATGTCTATTTCAATAAGATTTTCCAAAAAATATTTAATGTACAGATTCGGCTCAGAATTTTGTTATATGTATAGATAAGTATTATAAAATTAATAATTATTATAAAAATATAAATATAATATATTTGTAACATTATTCGTAATAAATTTGGATTACTTCCCCGACACTCATTTTTTCAATGTATTGACTTACCCCTTACTCATACCTAAACAAGATTTAATTCAAAAGGGTAAATATGATAAAATAGGTTTAATTATATTAAAATAGTATACTATATCAATTTGTAGAGTTATATGTTGTTGTATTTATATATATATATATATATATTATATACATAGCGAAATAGATTTGATGTGCATTGCATCAGCGGGCACTGACTTCAAAAATATCTGATTAGGTATCTATTGTAAATGAAATTCAGTTATTTATTACTTTTTAGTGTCTGGGAGTCAGTTTTTATTTTCCGTTTTCAAGATGTAACCTCGAAACAGAAATCACAGGGAAGAAAAAATATTAACGGGAAAGTCCATAGTAAATTGCTAGTCTCTCAAAATGTCCTCTTATCAAGAGTCAAGAGTTATCGATTTTAAACATTACTAAAATATTGCTTCAGTTTTTCTAAATATTTATATTTGAGATACGAATTTATAAAGAATACACTTATTAAATATATTATATCACACAGTACTGAGTAAATTGAAGACAAAGTCTAATTTAAAAACAAAAATCCATTTTTTCCTTCACATTTAAAGGTATTATATTATTTGTAAAAGTCATAGTACAGAGTTATCATTTAAGTTCTTTTACTTGTGAAATTATTCTTAGTTCTTCTCGTTCTTCTCTTGTAACTAAGATTTTAGTTTAGTTGATTTCTTAGTTGCAAATTAACAACTTCACGTTTTAAAATGCTTACGACAGCTTTTTCTGAAGGACACTCTGCTATGAATTCCTGTCCAATAGGCACTTTGTAAGGCAATTTAATACTTAAATCGTTATTTAGAATCACCCATTCTCCTGCACTTACATCAAGTATTTCAGGTAAAATTCGTACATCTTTAAACCCATTGAAAACTCCGTTTCCTGCTACATTTGTAATTATTAGTCCATTTTGAATTTCCACTTTAACATCTAAGTTGGTGACATCTGACAATGAATATTTGATAATATATGCTTCATCTCCGTACTTAATTTTTGGTGTAATTGTGGCATTTTCCTTGCAGAATTTCCCAAGAGATGATTCGGCAAAGGAATATTTTTGTCCGATATCAGCAATTATTTCATCTATTGTTTCTAGAGGATGGTTGCAACCAGGACCATGTCGATGACCCCAATGACCACGACCTCTATGACCATAGCCTCCATGACCATGAATAATGCCATGTGAATATTCCACAATGGCGAATATCACAAGCACTAAAAATATACGAAACATGACTTTAACTTACTAAGTTGTGAATGAGGAGTTATAACGCATCGAAGTGTTTATATACCTTTTTATGCTAATATCAGTCTCGATGATAAGAGTTATTCTTATTATATTGGGAATTTATTATATTGTTTGTACGTTTAAGAAAATTTATAATTGTTTTTTTAATCGTTCATTTTTATTTACATTCATTTTATTTAAAAATTTAGACTGTTTGTTATGAATGCATATTAGATATACTACCTCCAGGTAAATTTCTAAGAAATTAATTAAATTTCTAAGAAATCTATTGTTAACTGTAACGCCGGCGTGTCCACGATCGTGCAGGGACTATTATTTCGTTACTCTAATTAAATTCCATGATTATCGCTTTCTGATAATTGCCTTTAGAGAATCTACTGTTTAGGAAGTATTAATTAAGATCACGGCTTTACGTGCTCTCCGTGGCACAGGGGTGAAACACCGCCAACTTCGCCACTCCGGCCTGTGACTGAAATTTTTTGACTTAAAAAAACTCAATAAATGAACTTGGCCCGACCCGGGACTCGAATCGATTTGCAGTTGTAAATGCTAGTCACTAGACCACCGAGGCAGTTAAATAGTAATCTATACATATAATAAAACTATAGAGGTCGAATGTCTGTACATAGAAAAACAAGCTAAAAACCGAGTCAGGGGGATGTAAGAAGAGACATAGAACAAATCCAGATTTTTTTTCAAATTTATTGTTTCTCTGTCTGTTTTTCTGTTTGTCTATTTGTACGGGCTACTCTCCGAAACTGTTGGGTCGATTTAAATGAAATTTTGCACAGCACAGCACACTTTTCATCCCTTGCAAATTAAGTAGGTTCCGTGGGATAGTTAAAAAAATAATAACTTATACGCAAAGCTACTGATTGAATTTTAATGAAACTACAATAATATAGTTATATATATATCAGAATAACAAATAGACTACTTTTTATCCCGGAAAAAATGTACGGTTCCCGTGGGGTAGATTTGTTTCTATTTTATCAACACTATGTTTGACTAGAAGTGACAGCATCTGAACAAAGAACTATAATTTAAACAGGTTAATATTAAGTATAAAATTATGTGGAATTATAATTGTCCTTATCTAAAAGTTGAAAGTTCATTACTTCAAAACCTACTATAATAAATTTGCTCACATATCATTTCATTATCATAATATTATGCGGAGATGGGTTTTTACTGACGTATACACAATAAACATTTACAATAGCTGGAGTACTGGTATGAACAATAAGGTGAAAAATTGCAACTGCCTCAGTGGTCTTGCGGCTAGCATGTACGACCACGGATTCGGAGGTCCTGGGTTCGAATACCGGGTCAGGCCAAGTTCTTTTAGTGAATATTTCTGTAAAGAAATTCTCAGTAACAGCTCGGAGTTAAGAAATTCACGATGTTTCACCCCCGTACTTCAGATAGCACGTAAAGCCGTCAGTTATGCGCTTGATCTCTTACTAGTCGTTATAAGAGAGTAGCAAGAATAGGCAACGCACTGGTGCTTGCGCTCATACTTGTTCACTACAATATCTCCTGTGCAGACTAGCCTCAATGAGTTGGAAATAAGAATAATAACTGTATAGATCTCATAGTTGTTTACACAATATGAATGTGTGTCAGTCACTATATCGTACGCATTTACTAGAAGACTTATGTTGTAGATTTATGTTGTACCTACTCGGTCTTGTAAAAATAAAAATTGTAACTAAGTCGATTCTGTACATTAAATATTTTTTGGGAAATCTAATTTAAATAGACATCATTATCGATACAGAGTCCAAATCTATAGTTTTTTAGAATTTCTGTCTGTCTGTTACCGCATCACGAAAAACTACTGGACAGATTTTGATGAAATGTGATATGATGAGAGCTGGTTATCCGTATCAACATATAGGATACTTTTTACCGCGGGAAAATATCTCATTTCTGAGAAAAAATACAATAACTGCATTGTAAGAGTATTATACTAAATATGTAAAACCAACGAAATTGGTTTTTAAACATCTGAACGCGGGCGGAGCCGCGGGCAATGCTAGTTGATATATAAAACGTGGATACACATTTCCTTACAAATATCTCTTCAAAAAGTGGCGTCGACATAATTTATGACGTTAAGTCAAACCAAAGAGTAAAATTCAAAAATCGTTAGTTCTAATTATCTCTAAACACAAATTCGAACTTACGAACACCACATAAAGTACTTTTTTAAATGAATCAACGTGCGTGTTAATTTTGTCAACGAAAAGCAATGGACAAAAGTGATTTGAAAAAAGCGCATATTTTCGAATTGTACACTTCTTCTTGAAGACACTTTTTAAACGCTAATTGTATATCTTGAGTTTTTGTATGTTAGTACTAGCGGCTCACCGTCACTTCGCTCGGGTTCGCCTCTAGACAAACAAAAGCAAATCTATCCCACGGGAACCGTACAAATTTCCGGATAAAAAGTAGTCTATTAGTTTGGTAAAGTTTTATTAAAATCCAATCAGTTTCAGTAGTTTTTGTGTTCTAAACTGTATAAGTTACTATAGTTTTTTAACTGTCCCACGGTAACTCTTTAATTTTTCGGGATGAAAAGTATCTAAAATGTTGACCGGGGATGTAAGGTATCACCATACAAAATTTCATTTAAATCGGACAAACAGACAGAGAATTAAAAAAATCCAAAAAAATCTGGATCTATTCTATTTCTCTTCCTACATACCCCTGACTCGGTTTTAAGCATTTTTCTTCTATGTACAGACGTTCGACGTCTACAGTTTTATTATATGTATAGATATAGTACCTAAAAATTTGAAGCTGCAGGTGATGCAAGTGTCTATATAAAATCAAATCCAACTAACATTATAGAACATATATTTTAGATCTAAGAGCTTTATTCAAAAACATGTAGATAAAATAACACATACAATACATTACAGAACAAAAAACTTTATTCCATTAAGTTCCGTTATCCTAATCCACATTCCTTGTTGTTACAAAATACTCTGTCGCTATTTCATTGAAATAGGGTAATAATATTCTTCTCACGAATTTCCCAAAGGTAGAAGACAATTCATGGGGAAAGATAAAAGTATTAAACAATATTCAGTGACTCTTGGACTAGAAGCTCTATATGTTATGACTGAAAAATGTTGGTATCCGGCGCAATTTCTTCCTCGATAGAAATGAATGATCTTTCGTATGTATGTATGTATACAGAGTAATTTTTAATTTACTGAAAACCTTTTGGGTACTATTACATCATAACAACAACATCTGTAACAAGAAAAAATAATATTTCTTAAATTTTTAATTTCATACAAAAATAAACCTGTACCTGTACCTGTAATAATATTTTTTGCACCTTCTAAACTTTAAAGTTCTAGCATCTGGCCAAGTTTAAATGAGTAAGCGCGGCTTCCTACACCCCTCCACCCCTCCCCCTCCCTCATTCACCGGACACGCACTTTCTTTTGCTAATGCTGGACTATTACCGTTTAGAAGGTGCAATAAAAATACTTTGATTTTTGTTAAATTTAAGATATATATTTTTTTACAGATATTGTTGTTATGTTTAAATAGTGTATTCCCAAAAGGTGTTCAGTAAATTAAAAATGACCCTGTATATGTGTGTATGTGCATATGTCACGCATTGTAGCTCAAAAGACTGGATGAATTTTAATATTTTTGTATTAGGTATTAGTAAATTTGAATGCGTTGTGAGAGTGACCAAGGTGTATGATGACATGATATTTAAAAATGACATCTGCGAGTTATTACTCGCTTATTAAAAAAGAGAGAGATATCACATAAAAATACGTAAATAGGTACATTAGTATATATATATTTTTTATATATTTTTTTAATTTTTTTCGTAATCAGTTTTTTTTAATCATTCCATTTTATTGTTTGCTTATTAGAAAAAAACCGTGAAGAGTGGCGAATCTCAATAAACCTGAAAATATTTTATTATATAAGTACAATATGAATACGTCAGTGTGTAATATGAATACGAACTTTAATTTTGATGCACTCTCTTAGCAATGCTGACGAGTCAGAGTTGATATTAATTAACGTGCACAGATAGTTTCATTGATAGTTTCTTGACAGAAATACCCAATTTTTATTCTAGTCTCGACTCAGGACTTGAACTCAGTATCTGTTCTATAATAATAAAAGTAACTAAATAAGAAATGATCCATTATAATTAATACCAAGTGATTTTTCTTGTTTCATAGGAACCAAAACACATCTTACCTTTAAATTTGCTTTATATTTGATGCACTACAATAATTTTACTACATTTGTTAGCTGTAACGAATAATAATAATTTATAGATTCCCGATTATATACCTAACTATTTAATTTCCACTACAATATGAGTGCTATATAAAACAAAGATAATAATATGTACAAAAAAATAAATCAAAAAAGCTTACATATTATATTATCTTATCTGTTTTAACTTGCAATAAAGAGAGAGAGAGAGAGCTAGTAGTTTTTTCTTTTGACTCTCACATATTGAGGACTCGAACCCGCAATATAGATTGACATTAAAAAAACATGAACCTAGTTGAAGATAACAATATAATTTAACGTATATATAAAATTCTATGTATATTATCATATCTGCCCTTACGTGCGTATGACATGCAAATTGGATTCATTTCATGAAATGCATTTGGATGTGGGAACATTGCAAAGTCGCCCTCCACGTAGTACTGTACTCAGACTATCGTTAGTTAGAATAGCTTGTTTTTATTCAAATATGTACATTTTTATACCAGACTAGTGACTCACTCTCGCTCTGCTCGTGGTCGTTCCTACTTAGGTTTTTTTTAATTTATTTATCAGGCAAGCCAACGAAATTTTGTATGACGTCATATAATTAAAGCCAGAAAATATTAAAAAAGAAAAAATATTACATTATAGACCACACTTACAGGCTAGCTCAACATGATAATAAAAAAGGCATTCTACTTCCATTTCCCCACACC